ATACACCTAATACAGTTTTTCCATTCAATGACTAGTTTTGCCCCATTTTAGATTCAAACTGATTTCGGATATGAAATCAGCATTGCTTATTTTATACCCTGATGAATTTTCATCGTGCGCCGCGATCTACAAGATCAACTAAAAAAGTCCAAACTACACCTAATACAGTTTTTCCAATAAATGACTAGTTTTGCCCCATTTTAGATTCAAACTGATTTCGGATATGAAATCAGCATTGCTTATTATATACCCTGATGAAGTTTCATTGGGCGCCGCGATCTACAAGATCAATTGAAAAAAGGCCAAAATACACCTAATACAGTTTTTCCGATAAATGACTAGTTTTGCCCCATTTTAGATTCAAACTGATTTCGGATATGAAATCAGCATTGCTTATTTTATACCCTGATGAATTTTCATCGTGCGCCGCGATCTACAAGATCAACTAAAAAAGTCCAAACTACACCTAATACAGTTTTTCCAATAAATGACTAGTTTTGCCCCATTTTAGATTCAAACTGATTTCGGATATGAAATCAGCATTGCTTATTATATACCCTGATGAAGTTTCATTGTGCGCCGCGATCTACAAGATCAATTGAAAAAAGTCCAAAATACACCTAATACAGTTTTTCCAATAAATGACTAGTTTTGCCCCATTTTAGATTCAAACTGATTTCGGATATGAAATCAGCATTGCTTATTATATACCCTGATGAATTTTCATCGTGCGCCGCGATCTACAAGATCAACTAAAAAAGTCCAAACTACACCTAATACAGTTTTTCAAATAATTGACTAGTTTTGCGTACTTCTAGATTAAAAATAAGTTCATATATAGAAGCAGCATTGCTTTTTCAGTATATAAACAATTTTTGATCATGAAATTCTGCCTTTTCTCATCAAGTTTCATTATTTCTCTACCATGAATTTTCTTTGTTTTTTTCGTGAATATCTTACGAATGGTACCTCGGATCAAAAAATGATTTAGATTTTTAAAATCAGCATAAAAAAATACATAAGAAAAAATACGGCACGAAGTGTTCTGAAAATAGGCAACTTTTGACATCCTCCTTTATTAATATCAATAAAAAATATTTTAAATTGTCTAGTGAATAATGAGATTAAACACTTTTTTGCAGATTTCTTAGAGATCTGTTCTATTAATGGGATAACATTTTATTTGCAGGTAAAACGACCCTAATTTCATTTTTCACACTCAATCGATTCTTAGTTTTCTTTTCTTTTCCAATTGTGAGAATTGCATTTATTAAAATAAAATAAAATTCAATAAAATCCAAAAATCCAATTTATTTGGTGCTTTTTGCGGTGAGTAATGAAACTGATTGAACTTTAATAACATAATAATTGATATTGAAGGTGCAATTTACTCGAGGATTTGCTGAAGAAGACGGTCAAATAATTACTGTAATATTTTCTTTGTATTTTTCATTTGTACGGCTGGAACAATTGTAAGTCTTCAGAACTTTATTTTATTGCTGAAATAGAGTGATTAGCAAAGCAATAGATAATTCAAAAAATTGAAAAACTATTATCAGAAACAATATTAAGAGATATATGTGAAATATTTGATAGAAGTTACTGTAATTTAGTGATTTCCAACTTAGATCAATCACTTTTCGACGAACTTCAGATTTGTGAAAGTCGTATAAGGTTGCAGGATAAAAGGAAAGAATGAAGTCAACGTAAATATCTCCTTCTATTTTTGTAGCAATCCCGCTTTGGATTATCCGCCGTGTCCTGCAAAGTATAAGAAAGACAAAGTTAGATTAAATATGAAATGATTTGATAACAATGAGTTAATTAACCCACAGAGTGTTAATCTTGGTTCTGAAGGATTTGGAAACATTATAACTGTAGAGCATAGATTGCAATGATCTATGAAATGGTTTCGCCGAGAAATACTGCTCTTGGTTAGTTTTTATTGTACCAGATACTGAAGATACTAATGGAGTTAGCTTTTTACCAATACCAGAGACGAAGGTTACCATCTTGTCCCTTCTTTCAAACACAGGAATAGGTCCCAGAGGAAAGGGTTCCTCTAGTACTGCAGCGACACTGCGCTCATAAATAGCAGCATAATCTTTGTTAACTTCAGCTTTGAAAAAGTCATACAGCGAAAGGCCTTCAATGAAAAACGGAGTTTTACCCTGACTGATGACATCTTTCAATGTATCAATCTTGTAGTCTCTGTTTCCGACGATTGTTTGAGTGTTGAATGAAGCATTGAAAATGAATAAAGGAAACATTGAGATTAGCATTTGAATCAAGCAAAGACTTGTTGAACGACGAGTAAAATGCTGGCGAAATGATGCACCAAATGATCAGTAGATGGCCGTGAGCAATGCATCAATTTTGAAATGTTCAACTGCAATCAATTCCAATATTAATGTGGCTAGAATAGCCAATAAGAAAGGAATCACAGTGACCGATGTTAGACTGGAAACAACTGTTGAAGTATTATCATCTAAATTTCGTAATGTGCTGATATAATAGTTTTGCTCAGATATAACTGAAGTGAAATAACCAGGAGCCTTCTGGGTATCCAACGGTAATGGCAAGAAGCACATATCAGCCTTCTGTTATTTACGAAAATAAAAAGACACATTCAATTTAAATTCAACAGTAAAATTCACAGAAATCGCTAGCACGGCTGCAAATGAACAAATAAATGCTAATTTTGAAAATTTTGCTCTTTTAAATCCATTGATTTAAATTGTTGAAAATTGAAGGAACTTGCTCCATGTAATTTACGTAGGAGAATCAAATAACCAAAAACTAGCCAAGAGCTTCAAACAGCCTTTTAAAACTTCTACTTACCCCTTTTTGTATTAGACCCAAAACTCCATGATAACCAGTTTCTGTTGCCCAATTGTCCTTCCTCAGGTAGAATGAACTGCAAACTGCATAACAAAAATCACAATTGATCTATGACTAACTTGCAACTTGTTAGTCGTAACTTGAATTGCAAGTGGCGATAAATTCCATACTAAATAACACAAATGACCAAATCATCGACAACTAAATTGGAGTAACTGAATTAGAGATGAAGTTTCTTACTTGAAAGGGCCATAATCAGTAAGAATGTTGGCCAGCCTTTTAAGAGACTTCAAGTTATAATAGGAACAATTTGATCTTCTTTTTCAAGAAATCCTTCAGCAAATGGTACCTTCAATAACAATATCAAACAGAGTGAATTGTTAAACGGGAAATTCAATTAGAGAGTTTGATTTCTTACCGAAAAAGCACCAACTGTTAAATTAACTTTTTTGCATTTCAAGTATTGCAATATAAAAATTTTCAAAATAAAAGCCCTCAAGACTTTCTATAAATTGAGAAGTAAAATATCAATTTGATGCGTCAACAGGCTTTTTTTGCAATTTGAAAAAAGTATTCATTTCCAATGTAATATTTAATCATTCAACCATTAGTAGTAATAAAAATGCGTCTTTGACGCCACTTTACCTAGAGAGTGCAAACTTGCTTTCAAGCCAGATTTCGATTGAAAATGTATCAGTCTTTGAAGGCATTTTTGAGTAAATATAAAAGTGAAGTCAGTATGTAAAGTCAGTGCAGTGATTGAAAAGAAAAAAGTGAGAAAGATTGATTTATTCTTCATTCGATTTTAGATTCAAAATCGAAGATTTGAAATTAATAGCAAATGGAAAGTGAAAGAAAAAGTTTTTATCTCATAATAATTTGTCTGTTAATTTTGTTAACAATGATAATTGTTTGTAAAATGTTTGCTGTAGAAAATATTCTGGAGAATAATTTGAAATTAGCTTGATGAAAACATCTGCAAATTTTATTATTAGACATGAAAATGAAATCAGTTTACAAATTGAATGCGTACAATCCTTTCGATACTTGCTTTACATAAAGGACATCTACTAACATTGACAGCACAAGTAAAACATGCAACAGCACGATCAAATGGTGAAAACACGTACCAACTTCCAGTTCCAAACAAACCTTGCATTCATTTCTTCACTGGGATGTGGTGGTTGAATCAAAGGTCTTGGTTGAAGATAGAGAGTTAATCTTTATTGAATGTAAATTTTTCCTCGCATAATACCAATAGCCGTCTGTGTGGCATACATGGTATAAATAAACCCATATAATGGTGAAGCATTGGCATGTTCTATCTATGGATCATCAGCACAAGTCCAATTAAATGCTGTTAACCCACAATGGTAACAAACAACAATATCATCTCTACCGTATTGATGTAAATTAAGTAATATTAAAATTTATATCATGAAAATGATTAGAATAAAAGAAAGTATACCTTGATAAACAAATTCAGCAAGTTTACTAGGGGATTGGTTATTCAGTTCAGGTCATCTTGGAAATGTGTTGAGGCGAGACTCAAAGGAAGTAAATTCAGGTACAAGTGTTGTATAAACTCGTCTATACCTCCTTGGAATGATTCTATTCTGGTAATTTGGAATCCTGCGCATGAAATCGATTCGACTTTCAGTGTCTCTCACATTATCAAGTAGTGTAGGAATATTAAAGTTTTCAATAGTAGATATTGTGTTTTCCCAATCTCGTATGAAACCTACAAGCTCTCTGTCTCAATTTTGCGATGCCTGAGAAAATGATGGTACAATTGGTGAATCCGGGGTAGATCTATTTGATTGATTCGATGATGATATTGAAGATGATGATGATGAGGAGTTGAAAAGTAGAAAAGGACATGATGGATTTCTTATATTGTGAACATGAAATGGATTGTATTCATTGTTGAGATTGGTAATTATGAATCCACAATAAGTACATTCAATATAATCACCATCACTTATATACTGGAAACCATTAATTGCTAAATTATGAATGATGATGAATTGATGAATTCATAATATCAAGTGGAAAATTAAAAAATCCAAAGAGCTAATTGGTTTGAGTAGTTCGCGACATTTAAATAACAATGGAGATGAAGTTCATTCATATAATCATAACTGTTGTAAAAGCATTCTATTACTAACTAAATTCACTTGATGCAAATACAAAATGAAAAAAGTTAAAAAATGGTTAAGCGAAACAAACTTTACCTCTGAATCATCCATTGTAAATCTTTTTTGAGTTAGATGATTTCAAATAAATGATAAGCTGGAAGGTGACTACTTCTAATCTAGAGTTCCAAGTAAAGAACTGCTTTTTCAAAAGAGTACTGCAAAGTAAGATGAACTTCAACAGATTTTACACCTTTTTTATACACAATTTCACTTTTTACTCAAAACTCCCAAATCACATATTGAGCAAAGAAATAAGCAATAACTTTTTGCTCTACACTTCACCTGATTCCGCATAATGAATTTATACTTCTGAGAAAAAAGTAACTTTGATAAGATAGTCAAAACAAGTTTTCTAGTATTAGTAATAATCATTTTTCACCTGCAAAACTCATCTCTTTGCATTTTGAATCCTTATCTTCAATCATGCAGGAAGTTTTACTCTTTTAGGTTTACTTAATGGTTAGCTGCTAAAAATGCGTTATCTTGTGTTAAATATGATAACTTTTGTGTATCTTTGGTGTAATGGTCAAAATGAGTTACTCTGTTTTGTGTTCAATTATCTTAACCAGCAAAACATATCTCTTTCATTTTGAATCTTTATCTTCAATCATGCATGAAGTTTTTCTCTTTTAGGTTTCAAAATTTCTGTTTGCAAAATGGTTGCAACAAACACTCATGCTTGCATTTAACTCTAAACTTAACTTTAAATTTATAAAAATCACTGCAATATAATTCCGAGAAACAGATACAGGTAATTTTCTGCTCATTTTTAAGAATCAGTAGCTCTATATTGATCTTCCAGCTCAATCAGTCATTCTAAACTAAACCATGAAACAAGTTATCTGTTAACTGTAAAAACTTATTTAGTGCATTATATTGACATTGTTTTATTCATCATCATGCCAAAAGTAGCAGAATCAAAAACTTCTGCTCCAAGGTAAGTTTAATTGTTGTTTGTCTTTCAAAAATTCGTAATTCTCAGTGTTGCCTCTTTTCTTCTTTCTCCTTATCTTGTGCGCAAGCCCAGGTATCTCTATATTAAGCTGTAGGAAATAAGTTCAGTTTTAGGCATGGGAGGATTGAGAAAGAATATTTCCACTTTCACAATCTTCTTCATGAAATCTGCAGTTGATTCTGCAGAGTTCTTTTCTAAATTTGAAAAATTTTGCTGCAAAAACAGACAAATCACCATGGAAAATGAGGAGCTATACCTGGAAAATGATCGCCGCAATAAAGCAATCCAAACGCTCATAAAAGAGGAAAATGATAAACTCGAAGAAAATGTTTCAAAACTCTTTGAAAATGAGTAGATTTATCTTTGTTTAACTCAAGTTTACACCTTGCTTTCCCCTTATTCTTTTTACCCATTACACCAAACCACTTATATTTAAAATTAATATAAACCTTAATTCACAATCATTAAGCTTCTCGCAATTTTTTAAGCTTATTTTCATCAAAAAAGTGGCTTGCAAGACAAATCTCCATCTTTTGAAAAAGTGGCGTCAAAGACGCATTTTTATTACTACACCATTGAAAATGCATTCTAAATGTATTGTATTAATATTCATGAATAAAATAAAATTGCATTTCAATATTTATTTATCATTTGAATTTTTGCAGCGTAAGGAAGGGTACAATTAAAGTTGAAATACTTTTGTTCAGTAGTAATAAAATGTCCTTTCTGGCACATTTTTTATGCCATAAAGGACATTTAAGGAACGGAAATTTTTTTCCAATGACTTTTTTCAAATTCTTTGTTGCTATTATGCTGCCCTCTGTTGAAATTTTTCAAATTGACGTGTGATTCTGAAGTTATTCAAAAAAAGTTGTGTGGAGGCGAATGAACATTGTATATATTACTTGAATAAACTCTCTATTTGATTTGAATAAACTTCGTCTTTGCTATAACCTCAAAGAGGATAGTCACAGACGTTAAGTCAGGGGTATAAGGCGGCCATATAAGTCCAGTTACAACATGATCTGAGTAGCCATATGTAATTACTCTTACATTGTATTTTCCCTTGTTACTGTTTCAGTAAGCTGCTCAATCGTTGTTGGTGAATTTTGGTACACCTAATCTTGCGAATATAGGAAAACAAAGTAATCACAGTGTGTCAAATTAGGGCTGTAATAGGGTCAATCCATTCCACACGCCATTCTATCTGAATAGCCATATACGATTACACAAGATGAATATGCCCTTTGTAGTAGTGGACAGCAAAATTTTTCGGTGAGGTGAAGCATCATCTTGCATGGAATAATAACCATAGATGGCATTATTGTGTCCAGCGTAAGAAAACCATTTCTCTTCCAACATTTTTATGTAACGAATTGCATAGCAGATTGCATTTTCGTATTTTTAGAAAGTAGCTTAAAAATTTGCCTTTGATCCCTAATGCTCAACAAATATGAGAACTACTGCATGTACCGTTCGGCCGTTACCTCGAAAAAAGTCTCTCGGTTATGGCTTCTCAACCTGTATATGCACGAAGTTTCAGTATTGAGGTTGAGCTTGTTAGTGAAGTCACCGTGTATAAAACTTTAACACTGGATATACGTATTTCCTTTGGTTACTTATGATGCCTTTTCACGAAATATTTTACTACCTCTACTCTTCCAATGCGCATTGTCTCTCTCGTTCTGGGCTGCCGCCGCCATTACTTATTCAATAATTACAATTATCCTGAGTTTGACCTGATACCTTCTATATTTGGTACCTCTCAAGATTCACAACAAATATACTCTTCTTTCGCAGATTTCATGGCTGAGGATTAATAACCTTCTAGAAGTTAGATTTACAAGTTACAATGGTTGACAGCCAATAGGTATGACTAACGTAGTAACTGGGAAGATAAAAATGGAGGGAGGTAAATCGGACCACCGGAGTCAACACGGTTTTGGTCCAACACGATGGCTGGAAACTGAATTGTAAGAGATATCATGTTAATATGTATTAGACCATAGTACTTGTGTTGAAATATCAATAATTACACCAATAACAGCATTATATTCAACCATCATTTATACATCGACTACTTATTCAATAATTACAATCATCCTTAGTTTGACCTGTTACCTTCGATATTTTGTACCTCTCAAGATTCACAACAAATATACTCTTCTTTCGAAGATTTTATGGCTGAGGAAGAATAATCTTCTGAAAGGAAAGAAGATAAATATAATGAATTTCAATTAAAATCAAATTTACTTACCGATTTATGATGAAAGCTAGATATTGATACTTATTCAATAATTACAATTATCCTGAGTTTGACCTAATACCTTCGATATTTGGTACCTCTCAAGATTCACAACAAATATACTCTTCTTGCAAGATTTCATGGCTGAGGAAAATAACCTACTGAAAGTAAATGAATAATGTATAATGTTTCAATAAAAATCAAATTTACTTACCGATTTATGATGAAAACCAGATATTGGTACAACTATATAGATAGCAAATAAAGAAAACAATGCGTCCAAAAACCTGGAACACTGTAACAAAAGATGAACACAAGATAAACTTATGGTGTTTAAAATATAGAAAAATTATACACAAGAATGAATAATGAATAAAATTGAAGAAAATATACAGCACATATGATGAAAATGAATAAAAATAAATTATTCAGAATGAAATCAAAGGTAAATAAACAAAGTTCATTGTATAAACACAACTGACTGAAATGTCAGTTTCTTTGCTCGCACTAGTTTCTGGAGCAAGCAAACCTTGTGGGTAAGCAAATGACCTTACCAAAGGGCTTTGTTACCTTTGTAACGTAGAAAAGAAAGAGAAAAGAATTTATATTTTTATTTTATCTTGCTTTATCTTTTATCTAAACTCTATTCCTTGCTTTTTAAGAGTACCTTTACTTATTCAAAGTTTTCATTGTTTCCTAGTCGAGTTGTGAAAATCGTCTTTGCAATATATTTGGTATCATGTTGTGTTGCACAAAGGTGCGTGTTTGCCATGAAAGGCCAACTCTCGGTAATTGAAAATTTAACTAATTTTATTAAAGAGGACAATGATAAACCATGTTAGGTTTTTTAAGTTTCTTAAGATGCCGAATTTCGCTCAAAGTTGAGAAAAGTTTATGTTGCGTGCTCGAGTGAAAGCAACCGGTCAAAATGCAAACTTTTTTCTGTGACTTCGAATGAATCCAATCTTTTGTAGTGAAAAAGTATAAAAAATGCTGAGATAATTTTACTGTCAATCAAGGCAGAATATGAAAACTAACACAAAAAATATTACATTAATAGATACAAAGCAAATGAAAATACACAGAAACCTTACTCCATTACCCTACTACTAACCCTGTAACAGGAGACTAATCAGCCTTGTCTCTTACTCTTAAAATTTACACAAAAATACACTATTAATTGTACGTATCACTTATTATTTTACGTTTTTTTACATATTTACGTCCAACAAAGTCTTATTTTGGCGTAACAAGGTTCAGACTAAAACGTCAATAATGACTTTTTTAGAAGAATCTAAAGTGGCATTATGGCTTTGTTTTGTCCTGTAACCTTAAATTGCCATTTCTTAATGCCGATTTTCAGTTAGAAGTTAACTCTTTTTCAACAAAAAAGCTGATTCTGCCCATTCAATTCAATGTTAGATCAATTGAACAATGTCATTGAAATATGCAGTTAATTCTTTATGGGATGCTATGAGTTAAGTTTCAACAAGCTCTGTGGTATTCGCCATACTGTAAAACTGAATTGGACGTATATTGTAGGAAAAGTGCGTTTGCTATGATTAACAGTTACAAAAGATTCTAAAGATTGATTAAACTTTTCCATTAACACGGTAACGCACTAGCACGCACGTTCCATTAGTCACAATTCTGCTTTGTAGTGAACTGTGAGCTTCCAGCGAGTAGTGGAGGCATATCCACTTACAACTTTGTTAGTAACCATCATCAGATAAAAGTCATTCAACATACCGAAAAACCTCTATTACTCCACCTCTAACCGACTCATTGCTATTGAGCTCTTACAAAACTGACTTTGAGTCCAATTCTTTAAACGTACAATTGATAGCAAGTAATGGCAATTTAAGGAACTAGCCAAGTTGTAGTCAAACTAATTTTTAATAGTTTTAGTTATTCAATATTTACACTGGAATAATACATTTTGTCGTCACACTCACTTGGATCGAGGTAGGATAGCAATTAACTCAACAAGTAGTCCAACTATGGGCAGAATAAACATAAACATGAGTAAATGGAATATTTGATTTTGTGATTCACTGTTATGTGATTTCCTACTGAGATGAACCACTTTTCGAGGAACTTCAGACGTGTGAAAGTCGTATAAGGTAGCATGATAAAAAAAGAGACTAAAGCCAACGTAAATATCTTATTCTATTTTTGTAGCAATGCCACCTTGGAGAGTGAGACGAACAAAAATCAAGAAGAAAAAATCAAGAAGCGAAATAAGATACTTGGAATGTAATTTATAGTGACATAAGACAATTCACTCACAAAGTAACAACTCTTTTACTGGTGGGTTCGGAAGTATTATAGCTAAAAAGCATAGCTTGTATTGATCTATGAAAAGGTTTTGCTGAGAAATATTGTTCTTGATTAGGTTTTAGCAAATCAGATGAAGAAGCTGCTAATGGCGCAAGTTTCTTTGCAACACCAGAAATGAAAGTAACCATCAATTCCTTTTGTTCAAGCGATGGAATAGGACCTAACGACCCTGTTACAGCCCGTTCATAGTTATCAGCATAATCCTTGGTAACTTTGACTTTAAAGTAGTCATGCATTGAAACATTTCCAATGAAAAATGTTTCCCTGACTGCTGACATTTTCCGATGTATCAATCTTGTAGTCCGCAGTTCTTAAAATAAAAATTAAAATTACAAATGAAAACATTTAAATTACTTACACCTTCTTGTAATGAACCCAAAACTCCATCGTTATAACCAGTTCTTGTAAGCACTCACAATTGTCCTTCCTCTGGTAACCAGAAATAGTTTTTTCTTACTACTCTAAAGTTTGACAAATTTAATCAATTTGAAGCTCAATAAATAAAGTTAACAAGCATTTAATTTTGTCTCATTTTTATCATCCATACATTATTTGGCTATTTAGCTTTGACTATTTCAACGATGTTTATTACAAAATTGGCTCTCCTTGAGTGCAATAATAATATTTAGCAGCAAGTGATGACAATTAATTAAACTATTATACAACAATTGTATAATAGCAAGTGAATAATTTTTCGCTAGTTTTGGTATCTAATAAATTTTTCTTATTATTCATTTGGATTGAGTGAGAAAAGCAAAGACCAACTCAATAAGCAGAACAACTATGGACAGAGTCAACATAAAGATAAGTAAATAAAATATTTTATAGAATCCTCTGTAATTCAATGAATGCCAACTGAGATCGACTACTTTTCGAGGAACTTCAGACTTGTGGAAGTCATATAAGGTTGCAGGATTGAAGGAAAGAATAAAGTCAATGTAAATATCTCCTTCTATTTTTTTAGTTATTCCACTTTGGATAACCCGACGAGATCTGTAAAGAAATTGAAAGGTAAAATTGCGTGTTCGGGTTAAAATTTTGATTTGATTTGGTAGCAATAATTTTATTCACTTACAGTATATCAAAATTGTTTCTGAGTAATTTGGACGCATTATAGCTGAAAAGGACAGCTTGTAATGATTTATGAAAAGGTTTTGCTGAGTAATATTGTTCTTGATTAGGCGCAAGCAAATCAGATGAAGAAGTTGCTAATGGACCCAGTTTCTTTCCAACACCAGAAATGAAAGTAACCATCAATTCCTTTCTTTCAAGTGAGGGAATAGGTCCTAATGGAAAGGGCTCTTTGAACCCTTCAGCAACAGCCCGTTCATAGTTATCAGCATAATCTTTAGTGACTTTGGCTTTGAAGTAGTCATGCATTGAAACACCTTCAATGAAAAATGGTATCTTTCCCTGATCGATAATATCTCTCAATGTGTCAATCTTGTAATCTGCAGTTCCTACAATAGTTTGCGTACTGAATGCAGCGTTAAAGACGAATACAGGAAACATTAAGATTAGCATTTGAATCAAGCAGAGCCATGATGAACGACGAGTGAAATGCTGACGCATCGATACACCAAAACCTTGATAGATAGATGTAACCAATGCTGCAATTTTAAAGTATTTAACTGTGATCAATTCCATTATTGATATGAGCAGAACAGCAAGTAATAAAGGAACCACGCTTATTGAGGTTAGACTTGAAATAATAGCTGAATCGTCTTTATACAGATTACGTACACTAACTATATAGAACTCTTCTTCTGATATAACTGAAGCGAAATAACCAGGGGCCTTTTGGGTATCCAACGGTAATGGCAAGAAGCACATATCAGCTTTCTAATAATAATTTCGAGAACAAAAAGATTAAAATTATGAAATAATTAACATTGATATTACTTACACCTTCTTGTAATAAACCCAAAACTCCATCATGATAACCAGTTTCTGTTAGCACTCCCAATTGTCCTTCCTCGGGTAGAATGAATGTCAGGCTAAGAGGAAAATTTATTAATCCGTTTTAATAGTTAGCACTTTCAATAGAATCGCAACAGTTTCTTACTTGAAAGGGCCATAATCAGAAAGCATAGCTGCAAATTGTTTAAGAGACTTCAAGTTAGGAACAACTTGATCGTCTTCTTCAACAAATCCTGCGACAAATGGTACCTTCAATATCAAACAATTAGCAATTAAACTGGAATATTAGTTAAATAATTGTATTTCTTACCGAAAAAGCACCAACAGTTAAATTTGTTTTTTCCATTTTACATACAATTTCAAAATCCCTTCATAAAATTGACAAGATTTTGAATCACCTATGAAGTGAAACAACTCTCCTTTTGAAATCTGTATTTGATTTGCAACACATTTCTCGACAATTTACAAAGCTTATTTACAATGTAATCATTTGACCGCTAGACCATTGAAAATGGGTTTTTTTGTATATTTATGTAATATTTTAAATGACTTTGAATTACTCCAAAACTTGTTTCAAAACATGGCATCAAAATGATGCGATAATATTATTACGAAATTTTAATGATTATAATAATGGCAAATAGATTTTCAATGGTCGAGTGATCAAATGATTGCGTTGAAATCAAACTCTATTCCTTGCTTTACAAGAGTTACTTTACTTATTCAAAGTTTTATTGTTTCCTAGTCGAGTTGTGAAAATCGTCTTTGCAATATATTTGGTATCATGTTGTGTTGCACAAAGGTGTGTGTGTGCCATGAAAGGCCAACTCTCGGTAATTGAAAATTGACCTAATTTTATTAAAGAGGACAATGATAAACCATGTTAGGTTTTTTAAGTTTCTTAAGATGCCGAATTTCGCTCAAAGTTGAGAAAAGTTTATGTTGCGTGCTCGAGTGAAAGCAACCGGTCAAAATGCAAACTTTTTTCTGTGACTTCGAATGAATCCAATCTTTTGTAGTGAAAAAGTATAAAAAATGCTGAGATAATTTTACTGTCAATCAAGGCAGAATATGAAAACTAACACAAAAAATATTACATTAATAGATACAAAGCAAATGAAAATACACAGAAACCTTACTCCATAACCCTACTACTGACCCTGTAACAGGAGACTAATCAGCCTTGTCTCTTACTCTTAAAATTTACACAAAAATACACTTTTAATAACTTTAATACACTAAATAAACTATAAATGATCCAAGTCTTATTTTGGTGAAACAAGGTTCAGACTAAAACGTCAATAATGACTTTTGAAATATTATAGTCTGAATCAATGGCAAGTGGTAAACTTGTATGGCTTTGTTGTGTCCTTTAACCTTAAATTTCCATTTCTTAATGCCGATTATTATAATAGTTGAAAGTTTACTCTTTTTCAACGAAAAAGCAGATTCTGTCAATCGATTTGATGTTAGATCAATGAAAAATGAAAATTGCGAAGTAAAATAACTGGACTTTCTATAATTTTGTAGTCCAACAGACCAATTGGCATCTACGTACAAAAAGTTGTTTATTCACAACGAAAGTATTTAGTGAATAGATTTTTGAAAATGTGTTACTTTATTGATATGTACAAATAAAATGAATTAAATGTAATATTTTTTGAATATTTCGATTTCTATTTCGTTATAAGGATATAGCAATAGTGATATAATTTCACAGTCAATTTAATCAGGACAAATATAAAACAAAACTTAATAACAGAATATAAATTGAAAATAGATTGTGCAATTATTCCTGTAATTGTTGTATCCTCATCACCGAGTCGTGAAGTCAAAATGATCGGTAAATATTAAAATGAAATTCTAATGATTAATAACAATGAAAAATACATTTTCAACGGTCTAGTGATTGAATGAGAATAAAGATTCACTAAATATCTGTTTGCAAAGCATTAAAATAATCTATCGCAAAGTTACTGTTGTTACTATTGTGGTTGTTTTCTCATCGAATTTTGAATATTGTGTTAAAAATGCAAAAAAATAATTTAACTATTGGTGCTTTTTCGGTAAGCATTGAGTTGCATTATTGGGTTGCATTTATTAGTTTAATAACACATATTTGATATTGAAGGTGCCATTTGCTCGAGGATTTGCTGAGAAAGATGGTCAAATAATTCCTAGATTGGCGTCTCTTAAACTCTTCCAAGCGATTCATTCTGATCAGTTCAAGTAAGTAACTTTGATTTGAATAAAATATTGAGATGGATTAATAAATTGTCTTCTTAGTTTGCAATTCATTTTACCCGAGGAAGGACAATTGGGTGTACTAACAGAAACTGGTTATCATGATGGAGTTTTGGGTCTAATGCAAGAAGGGGTAAGTCATGTCAATGCACAAATCATATTTATCAAAATAATAATACAAAAATGTATAAACTTGACTAAAATATAATATAATAAAAAAATAAAAAATGACTAAACCGAAATTTAACAATGAATCAAGATTTTGATGGTTTTAAGATACATTTTGTATGGAGTAACATGATGATATCTCATGTTAATTAACTTAGATTATAGACATAAGCAAATTTTTAATTTTATTGTACACTCTATTTCAAAAGTTTGGTCCGCAAATTCATTTGCAATTTTCTTGCTGAATATTTAAGTTAATTCAAATATTTTTACAAAATAAATAGATTGCATTGAGGCAATTTATATGATGAATCATATTTTTGAAAAAATAAATTTTTAACAATTAAAATTGATTGAG